TAAAATGACTGGCCTTCTTAGTTTTCTTTGGTTTGGAGATGACCAAGATTTGACCCCCACCCTCAGATTGGAATAGATTGGACATGACTCTAGGCCTTTTCTACACTTAGATCCATCCTCCTGGGAGCAAGATAAATGTCAGCCGATTCCTATCACATTATTCTTCTAGCAGATGGAATTTCATTCACATAGTTTTTTGTTGTTGTTTTCTGTTTTTTTTTTAAAGCTTAGAACAAGGGGAAAAATTTCTACTTTTTTTCATACTGTAAGTGCAATTTACACTAAATTGGAAAAGCACAGGGACGCCTCAGCCTTTTATTTTTAAACAGTTTTAATTGACAAATAAAAATTATCATATATATTTATTGCACGTAACTGGTGGTTCTGAAGTATGTATACATTGTGAAATGGCTAAATTGAGCTAAATTAACATATGCATTACCTCAAATACTTATCATTTGTGTGGTGAGAGCACTTAAAATCTACTCTCAGCGATGTTCAAGAATACAATACATTGTTCGTAACTATAGCCATCATGTTGTATAATAGATCTCTTGAACTTATTATTCCTAACTGAAATTTGTATCCTTTGACTAACATCAAAGAGAGATGTTGAGCAGATAGTGTTAAGCCTTATTTTAGGTATCTTGAAATGGCTAAAAACAATGGAAACTATGTGGGTAGAAAGCTGACTTTCAACTTTCCCTAATCCTAAGAGTGCAGACAAAGTCTAATGAATTAATCGAGACCCAAGTCATTCCAGACCAGGAACACATGGGAAATTGCCAATGGATAGTTGGATCCTCTCATTACAGAAACCTAAATCGGAGATAGTCATTGAAATGTCTAATCACCAATCTGAATTTTTATTTCTTTAAATAAGAAGATTTTAAAAATAATTCTACTAAATCTATATGAGGTGGTATGCCGAGAGTTTATTGCAGGGATGCTGTCAGTAATAGAACCTGTAAGGGAGAGAGGGAGGCAGGATGGGGCAGAAGGAGAAGTTGAACTATAATCCAGTCACAATAGAGACCTTGTCTCATCCCCTTGGAGGCTCTGAACCTGAGATGACCCTTCAGAGCTTTCCAGAATTGAGAAAAGCAGGTGTGCCTTGTACCACTTGATAGACCAATCATTGGATATGAGCTGCCAAAGAAAGGGGATATAACCTTGTGTAAGGCAGCTTGCTTAGGCTGAAGGCAAATCCTGGAGAGGGACTCAGCTGCAGGTCTTCCCCAGGCAGAGCTCCTGGTAGCTGTGAGAGTAAGCTGGTAGCTTGGTCCTCACAGGGGACCTTGGCAGTGTGCACCAGCATCCACTACATAACCAAATGCCAAAATGAATACCAAACAAAGGCATCCTTGTTTTGAAAGTAGGATGCAGTTAGCCCAGAAAATATGGTAGTGTGAAACTTGATGGCGTAGTGTGCCCTGGCTAAATATGTTAGTAAAATTCTTGAAGTCTTAATTGTCTGTGTATGATTACCTTCTGACTGAAATTACCAGTTCAGTAAGCAAAAGGAGGCTGATTAAGAGTCATATCTATTCTAAAACCCTCAAAGGCGGGGCCTCTCAGGGACAATTCAAAAGGATCATTCTTACTACAGATTCCTCCACATTTTTTCCAGTTCTGTGTACTCTATGGGCAGGTGGTCACTACCTGCAGCTGATAATTACAGGCTTTCTGTATGCTGCATTATGAAAGGAATGTGTTTGTGCTGCCAGGCTGACAGGGAAGCATGCAGCATATGTTGGACCCTGTAAAAGGGAGGAGATTCTTCTTTTGTTATGGGCCATAGGTTTTCAAGGCTGCGATCCATGGCAAATGTTCACCATGTTCAAGGCCTAAGGGCCAAGCACACGACCTTTTAAGAGCTTGTCAGCAGAAGTTCCTTTCACTGAAAGCCTTGGCTGTCCTACGCAATCAGCTAGTAATCAGAGCCACATTGTGTGCCCTCTTTGTAAGAAGGCAAAAGATCTATAGCTTTCATCACTGAAAATATTTAATATTGCACCTTTAATTTTCAATAATAATAACAACAATAATAGATAAAATGCTGCCATGGATTTCATAGATACAAATGGAGGTTTTGATCTTCCTGAAACATTTCCTCTTCTAGAATGGAGCAAAGCAACCATTTTGACAATAGCTAAGAAAATTACACAGAAGTCGTGGGCAGGAATGTTGTGAAAATGCCATTGAGGCCGGGAGCGGTGGCTCACGCCTGTAATCTCAGCACTTTGGGAAGCTGAGGCGGACAGATCATGGGGTCTGGAGTTTAAGACCAGCCTGGACAAGATGATGAAACCCTGTCTCTACTAAAAACTACAAAAATTAGCCGGGCACGGTGGCACACACCTGTAGTCCCAGCTACTTGGGAGAATAGCTTGAACCTGGCTGGCAGAGGCTGCAGTGAGCTGAGGTCGAACCACTGTACTCCAGCTGGGTGACAGAGTGAGACTCCATCTCAAAAAAAAAAAAAATGCCATTGAAACTACAAGAACAATTAAAGAACCTGGGTAGTTATGTCCTCCCCTTTCACCCTACTCCCAATTCATATCCACTGATAGCCATCAAACTGACATTTATTTGATTATTATGTGTACTGAACAATTCAGATCATTTATAATAAGATGCTAAATTAGGTCACAAATTGATAGTAGGGAGAAGTGGAGTGTTTTCTACTGTGATAGCAATAATTTTCTTCTTTCTGATTTCTAAAATGATTACTTGAAAATATGAGAATGTGCTGAAAAATCACACGTTACTTATTCAATCATACAAATATTGGGGGGTTAAAGACAAAATTGTGAAACTTTAGACTTATAGGTTACCTTTGAGCTTCCTAGGTACAAGTCCATCTTTTACAAATGAGGAAAGAGGGTTTGGCTTGCCCAGGGTTCTATACTCAGGACTACGATCCAGGTCTCTAGTTCCCTGGCAGTCTTTCCACTGGAAGAAACATGTGCTCTGATTTTTAATATTGTATGTACAAGTTAATGGAACATTTTCATTGGCAAAAAAAAAAAAAAAAAACGGAACGCCTAGATGCCTTTTGATTAGACCAGGTTCAGAGAAAACTCAGGCAGTGTGAATCTCAGATTGATTTGACCCTTAGGCACACCTGATTACTGCCTTGACTCAATGAAGCTCATTGACACGTGACTCCTGGCATACAGGCTGGAAGTTTCAGCATTTCTGGCTTTCACATCTGAGTACCCAGAATCCTTGCAGACCTTGGAGGGTGATTATGACAGCAGCACCTAGTGAGACTTCTAAAACTTCTAATTGGTACCAATGCATGTTGAGATTCCTGTGTCTCGTTTTGTTTAGATTTCCACATAATGGTAAGCATTCATTTTGCCATGGCTTGGATGGTTTCTTCTATTAAGAATCTATCATTCTGCTATCATTGTGTTCTGCTGAGGCTAACCCTACAGATCTGGCTGTATATACTCCAATGTCTAGAATGATGGAAAAGACAACCAGAAAGATCAGGATGCAAGTAACTTGTATGAAAAAGCTCCCATCTTTAGTGTATAGCCTTGCAAGTGGTACAGAGACCTTCAAAGTAAAGCACTAACCTTGAGAGCATATTTCTTACTTTTGATTTCACAGGACTTTTCCATAACTGCTAAGTTCCCAGTTCTCTCTATGTCTTGAAAAGTCCAATTTGGGAGGTGGAGGTAAGCATGAGATTCAGGCATTTCTTCTGTAAGGATATGCAGTTCATCCTAACTAAGCCACCTGCTCCGCAATACAGGATGCTAGCACACGCTGATTTGTAAGCAATGTGTTCATTTCTTTAAAGGAGCGAGTTGCAGATTTGTGTTGCCAGAGACAGATGACAAAGTCTAACAGCTGATGGCTGGTACACTACCAGTTGAATTTGTGTTGAGTCTGCAAATACTGACTTAATGTGCCTGTATCTCCTGACAGGCTGCAGTTTCTCACAAGTATCCCTTCTTTTCCCTTCCCTTCTTGCTTGTTCTAGGGTCTCTATCATGAAAAAGAGGGATCCCTGAGAGAGCCTTTTGACTTGACAGTGTAACTACAGCCCAGAACATTTCAGCCATCCTGAGCATCACATGAAGTTGGGATCTTGGCATTAGGATTTGTAGTAGTTTCCTAGGACTGCTGTAATAAAGTATCACAAATGGGTGGCTTAAACAGCAGTAACCAGTTGTCTCACCATTCTGGAAGCTAGAAGTCCCAAGTCGAAGGTTGGTAGGGTTGATTCCTTCTGAGAGCTGTCAGGGAGAAACTCTTCCATGCCCCTCTCCTAGCTTCTGGTGGTTTCCTGGCAACCTCTGGCATTCTTGGCCTGTAGATACATCACCCCAATCTCTGCCTTCGTCTTCACATGGGATTCTCCCTGTATGCTTGTCTGTTTCTGGGTCTAAATTCCCCCTTTTTGTAATGATACAGCCATATTGGATTAGGCCCAATGCTAATCACCTCATTTGAGCTTGGTCATATGCAAAGCCCCTATTTCCAAAATAGATCACATTCACAGATTGAGGGCTAGGACATTCACATCTTTGGAGGTGGGGACATAATTCAGCCCATAACAGGGCTTCTAATGTAGGTCCAAGGAAAATGATGTAAGCCATTGGATTGTGCAGAACCAGCCTTAATCTCCCACTTTCATGCCCTGCCAGGTGTTTCTTCTTTCTCTACCCCAACCCAGCCATCCCATGGATGGGCTTTGCCAAACGAAGCCTCCTTTTGGGTTAGAGGGAGCTTCCCTCTGTCTACTGAGAAATTGGGCCTGTTGTCCAGATTCTAAGCCTGCATTCTGACTCCTCTAATACCCAGCCTCTGCCTATGCTGCTGACATGTAGTAATGTGGATGAATTGTCTGTTCTCCTGGCCATTTTCACATGTGTGTGTGTGTGTGTGTGCGTGTGTGTGTGTGTGTGTGTGCAGAAGTCACCAGGAAGTTCTTTGCCCCATTACTCTACTACCTAAAGTACTGTCCTGTATTCTGTACTTACAGTTTAAGAAGACTTTGGGGACCATTCTCACCCTTTGAGCTTTCCCTCCACTCTCCTCAGTGTCAAACCCATGCCTTTCCTTCAGGACAGCTGCCATCCTGGGCTGCTGCTGCCAGCAGAGGTGCTCTGCTTGCAAAATCCTCTGTTTGGTTGTCACTGTTTGTCTATTACCCTACTGCAAAGGAACAATTCAACAAATGACTTTAAACTATTCACTTTTCAAATATTAGGTTAAGGTTATCTGAAGTTTGATCAAGATATGGTGGATAAGAAAATCACTGCCCCTCCTAAAAATTTAGGTTATGATTCAAGTGCTCTTTTAAGAGGCATTTCAGAATGTTGACTGTATGCATTATCCCAGTGCCCAGCAACCGTGGCATAGCTACATTTAGGCAGTCTTTTGTGATGAGACATGTATATGGGTGAAGCATTTGGTCTTTCAAAAAAGCACCAAATTTCCCCTGACCCTGCTATTCCCTTAGGTACCACCCTGCCTCTTACTTTCTGTCTACTCCCCAAATTGTCAGCTAGTCTATACTTGCTGTTTTCACTGCCTCCCCACCCACAATCACATTGGACTGTATAATTCTTAACTCTTTGCATCCTCATCACCAGCTATAATTGCTCTTTGGAGGTAATCTTTCCCTGTCTCATCACCAAATTCAGTGGCTACACAATAACCTTTAGGCTTCCTAACTACTCTGTGGCATTGAATACCTTTAAAAATCCTCTCGTTACAAGGCTTCAGTGACCCCGAGACACCTTAGGCTTCCTGTCTTCCTGGCAGTTCCTTTAGCTATTCTGCCTTCTTCCTCCCAAATGCGGGTACATCCAAAGAGTGTGTTCTCTTTCCCTTCTTCCCTCTCCTTCTACCATCTTTCTAACTATGTTAAGTTTATTGGATATGTTAGTCTCCCCTGTCACCAAATAGTGGGTTATTGGAAACACAGACTATCAAAAGCCAGATATGTTTAGCCATGAGACTTTGCAGAATCTCCTACCAGGAAATGAGAGTAGGTACTGATCCAAACACCAAAGCAGAAGAATCCAGCATAACAGTGCAGCCCTGGAGCACCATCCTGGATGCAGTTTAGGACAGGGGAGGGGAACCAAGGGCTCTGACCATAGAATAAAGGAGAGGTCCAAAGCTGTAGGTCAGCCAGTGTGCTTGAGGAAGCTTATTTCTAATGGTTGTACAAAGGAGGTTTAACAGTGTGCCCCAATCTCTTCACAGGGGTTAGGTATCCCTCTTGTACTTCTCCGTCAAGTCCTTTGTCACACTGGATGCAGGGTATTGTGTATTTGTTAGTTTATATCCACCTCTAGACTGTAAGATCTGAAGGGCAAAGGCCGTATATATCTTTATCACCACTGTATTTCCAACATCTAGACCAGTGCTTGTCCTAGAGAGGGTGCTAAATAAATTTTTATTGGAAGAGTGAATGAACAGGATTTTTAAATTTGGAAATTAAGTAAGTGGGAAGCGTGGGAAGCATGGGAAAGAAAACATATATAAACCAAGATAAAATTTATACAAATTTTTACCAGTCATGTATTATTGCTAGAGGTGGGCTGCAAATTTCACTCTGAACTGCCTACTAGTCAAAGCAAAGAAAAAAAAAGGTCAGTGATAACACTTGTAGTGTCTATAGGATTTTAAAAGATAAGTTGCTCAGATGAAATGTAACTATCACTGTGTTGACAAGAGAGGTGTCTCCATGGATCCTAACAGAGAGTTACTGGCTGGGCCACAGGCAACGTCTAACAGGCCATCTTGATAATAGAGAATGCTATGGGGTTATTTTTTACAATGTCCTTCAACATAGGCTAATCACATACTATAAATTTAAAGTAATTCTATGAGAAGGGCGACCAGAGTAAAGTAACCAAGTGCCCAGAATGCTGATGACCTGCCATAAAATTTAGAACATCCAGTACAAGGTGTGTCTGGAGGCACATGAGTATTTTTTTGTTGTTGTTCTTTTCTTTTTTTGAGACGGAATCTTGCTCTGTCACCCAGGCAGGAGTGCAATGGCCTGATCCCAGCTCACTGCAACCTCCACCTCCCAGGTTCAAGCGATTTTCTTGCCTCAGCCTCCTGAATAGCTGGGTTTATAGGCGTGTGCCACCATGCCCAGCTAATTTTTGAATTTTTAGTAGATACAGGGTTTCATCATGTTGGCCAGGCTGGTTTTGAACTCCTGACCTCAAGTGATCCACCCACCTCAGCTTCCCAAAGTGTTAGGATTATAGGCATGAGCTACCGCACTAGGCCACTCATGAGCATTTCTTGTAATATTATCTAAGAGCTCTGTGATCAAGTACATTTGAGAAATACTGCCTACTCAGATTCTTATTTCTTAGATTTTTACATGTACATTGACATAAACTAATGCTTTAAGAAGTTTTTCAGTAAAGAAACTTTGTCTAATCTTGAGTGTTACCAAAACAATTTGATCCTTTTATAATACACTACCTGTTTGCATTTCAGGGAAATTTAAGGATGGCCCTTTAGGAAACAATCTTCTAGGGAAATTATGGGCTGCACATCTACAGGCAACCCTGTGTGAATGTTTTTTCTCACAATAAAGTTCTTGATAAGAGTCTGTTCACAAAGTGTTCCAAGTGACAGTCATTTGGCAAGAACTTGGGGTGCAGATAATCTGTGCTGTCATTTACAAATAGGCCCTTGACAGTTAACTGAATGGCAAGTCATCTGAGGAGATTAACAGCTTCTACTCAATCTTTGTGTCCACACTCTTCCTAGGGAGAGCCCAAGGGAAGCTGAGTATTATGTTAGAAAAGCAGTCATGACTCCATTCTACTTAAACCCAGCGAAACCATCTGAATCAACTCAGTAGAGAACAATCTGAAAATCTAAGCTACTCTGAATTGTAGTAGTAGTATTCTTCTCAAGAACTTCCAAGTACTTCTAGAAGTGCTGAAGAATACGCTGCTATTATTATTGAAAACAACATCTATTGATTATCTTAACCAATGACTATTCTCTATGGGTTTATGTGCCAATAATTTGGGCTGCTCAGTTTTCTGCATTGAAATTTAAGATTTAAATCAATAGATCATAAAAAAATCATACAATGCATTGCCCCTTCTATCTGGGCAGGCATGCTTCAGATGAACAACAGTGGGAAAATACAATTTCTATGAAAAGAGGGAGGAGAAACGAAGATTATGTCCTGGCATATTCCTTTCTTCTAGCTAGCTGAAGACTTCCCTCTATAATGTGCCAGAAAACCATCAGCTAAATGAGGAACACACAGTCCAGGTCATCTGAGCTCTTAAGAAAGACCTAACTTTTATTTTTTTTCCTATTACTAATCTCCTTAAAACTTCTAAAATATTTTCTGTTCTAAGTTACTAGGCTTCACAGAATCAAGAAAGGTAAAGCATCATATAAAAGTATCAGAGAAGTGAGCTAAAACCATTTTACATTTCACTCTGGAGTTCATTATATTTTTGGCAGCAAAATTATCTTCCTAATTATGTTTTACTTATGTTGAAATTAATTTTAATTGGTATTTCCTGTGAGTCGAAAGCAGGAAAGGCTGCCTAAGATTAAAAATTGGCCTTGGATAATCCAAAATTCACACTCCCTCTGGGCGATCTCATGCATGCCCACAATTTCACCTATTTCTGATGCTCTGAGGACTTCCACCTCAACATCTAGTCTCTATCCTGAGCTATGCAGTACATTCGAAGACTGGGCAACTTCACCTATATGTTGACATATGCAATGTGAATTTATAATCTTTCTGGGCATTTCTTACCTCTATTTCCCTCTCTCTATAATCCCAGCCTCAATGATTAGATCCACCTTCCACCCAATTGCCCAAGTCAAAATCTAGAAGCTGCTTTAGACTCCTTATTCCTACTCACCATCTTTCTTGGGACTAAAATGCAAATTCCTTGGCATGACACTAAAGGGCTTTCACAGTCTAGCCCCTTGTTTCCCAATGAAAGCCCTATTGGCAATTGGGGCACAACAGTTATTCTGTTTGCAGGATTGCCCTTCTCATTTCTAGTCCCACCCACTAAATGCCAGCAACAATCCCCATTCACCATCACAACTGGCAAACAAATAAACAAATTTAAAAAGATCATCCACATTTCCTAATGCGACTTGTAATATAGCCTCTAGCTGAGAATCACAAGTCTAGCTTTGCCTACATTTTTCAGCCTCATCTCCCTCTGCAGAGTGCATGCTGTGCTCTCTCAAGCCAAGCCTCTGTGACTTTGCACATGCTGTTTTCTCTGTCCCCATTGTCAGCCCTCTCCTTACTGAGTGTGATGGTTAATTTTATGTGTAAACTTGACTGAGCTAAGAAATGCCCAGAGAGCGTTTAATCATTCTTTCTGGGTGTTATCTATGAGGCTGTCTCTGGAAGATGTTAGTCTCTCTGAGTACAGAGTAGGCTGAGTAAAGAAGATCTACCCTTACCAATGGAGGTGGGCATAACTCAATCTGTTGAGAGCCCAAATAGAACAAAAAGGTGGAAGAGGGGCACATTCTGTCTCTTCTTGGGTTGGGACATACATCTTTTTCTGCTAGTGGATGTCAGAGCTCCTCATTCTCAGGCCTTTGGAGTCAGACTTACACCAGCAGCACCTTCTCCTCCCAATTATCAGGCCTTTGGTCTTGGACTGGGAGTTACACCATCAGATCCCCTGGTTCTCAGGCCTTCAGATTTGGACTAAATTACACCACCAGCTTTCCTGGTTCTCTAGCTGGCAGATGGCAGATTGTGGGACTTTTTGGCCTCCATAATCATGTGAGCCAATTCCCATAATAAACTGGTTTTGTTTCTTTGGAGAATCCTGACTAATACATTGAGCCAACCAAAAGTCTATACCTCAAGATTCAATTCAAACTCTTTTATCCTGGGAAGTCCCCTGCCCACCTCTACCACAGCAACCTCTTGTCCTTATAAACTAGGTGATAATTACTCTAAGTAGCTCCCCTTTGGACTGACCTAGACAGAGCAAGCTTCAAAATACCTGCCATAGGCCAGGTACAGTGGCTTATGCCTGTAATCCCAGCACTTTGGGAGGTCAAGACAGGGGTTGGGGAGATCACTTGAGGTCAGGAGTTCAAGACAAGCTGGCCAACATGGCGAAACCCCATCC